CGATGATTGGTTTGATCTGGAGTGCATAGCTGCTATCGAACTTAAAAACAGGGCATATAAGAATACGACACAAAGAAAATATACTAGAATAGCCGTTTACGAACATAAATGTGCCAGAAAAAATGAAAAAAAGATCCACCGTGTTAAGAAGACGAACTTTCATGAAAATCTCTTAAAGGATGTTGAACGTCTTAGGAGAGTAGGGTAAAGCAGAGCTTTCTTTCATGAGATTAATCATAGACGAGGAAGTTTCAAGCCAAGAACTACACTGTGCAGAAGGAAAGATGGCAATATTTTAAGCGCAAAAGGTGACATTCTTCAAAGATGGAGGAAGCATCTGAATGAACTGCTGAATTCCGACCTGCCTTCAGAAGTAAGCGGATCGATAGTCAGAAACTTGATTGTTTTATCAAGTTTCTGACTATCGATCCTGCATCATGCACTTCTGTCAACGAGTCTACTGATACCCCCCTCGTTGACAGAAGTGCATGATGCTATAAAAAACTAAAAAACAATAAATCTTCTGGACCTGACAATACACGGTCAGAAATTTTATGGAACCTAACCGTGTACAGCTTTAGTTATGGAACCTAACCGTGTACAGCTTTTAAAGGAATTAATTCAACATATTTGAAAGAGTGCCAACGGAATGGAAACTTAGTACCATTTGCATGATACACAAAATAGATGACGTCTTAGAGTGTCGTAATTATAGAGGAATCAGTCTTCTTTGCACATCTTATAAAATTCTATTACTTTTTTTAAAGATTTTTGCCGTTTGTTGATAACTTGCCAGGCGACTATCAATGTGGATTTAGGAAGGGGAGATCTACAACTGAGTAAATTTTCAACTTAAAACAGATTCTTGAAAAATGTAGAGAATTTGGAATCGAAACTACAAGTGCAACAAGTTGACTCGCAATCTTTTTATTGATTTTAGAACAGCATATGATTGTATTAACAGAGAACTCCTTATAAAAGCTATGCATGAAATTGAAAATTCCAGAAAAACTTGTTGCACTTGTAGCTTTGACTCTCAAAGAAACAATAATTCAAGTACGCATATACGGTGTTTACACGGAACAGCTTGAGGAAAAAATGGAGTGCAATAGGGTGATGCGTTGGCATGCCTCCTATTTAGCGTAGCACTAGAAAAAGTTACAGCGATTCTTAACAGTCATTTGATTGCTTCTTTGTTTAATTTTAAGTAGTTCCTAACAGAATACTCTTTCCCCAAACAACAACATCGAAGCTCCAAGCTTACATGTAGACTTTATGAGGCTCTTAGCCATCTATTCGGCTGTGTTCCCGGAGCAGGGTAAAGCAGAAAGTAGATAGTTTCTGCCAGGAAGATAACACACTGTGAGGCTAAGGCCAGATCAGTGGTCTTCATTGGTGGCGCTCACTCACTCACACAGTTCAAATAGCGGCTTATTGCTGATGACATTGGCATTATTGCCCGAACCACACCGTCTTTGAAACAGGCATTTATGGCACTGGAACAAAGTGGCAAAAGAATTTATTTATTTGTAAACGAAAATAAAACTAAATATTTACCTTGCTTAAAGTTTGACTTAAAATTTAGTCACTTAGAAAAATTAGCAATTATAAATTTGAAAAAGTTAACAGTTTTACTTATTTGGGAAAAGAGATAAATAATAAAAATATGTTGGCCCCAGAAATAGATGTTTTTATGCCCTGAAGAGTTATTTAAAATCCACCTTTCTTACATTAAGAACTAAATTGCTTCTTTACAAAAGTCTTAAAAGCTCTGTCTTGACTTATGCATCAGAGATTTGGGCATTGACTTTATGTGATGAGGAAGTTCTGGGAATTTTGGAGCGAAAGATCTTGCGTTGCATTCTTGGTGGTGTCCAAGTGAATGGATCATGGAGAAGAAGATCTAATTTAGAACGCTATAAAATTTACAAACAACCTGCTTTTGTAAAATTACAGAGATTTAAATGGGCTGGACATCTAGCAGAATGAATGCAGATCATTACTGCAAGAAAATCTTTCTGGCAAAGCCCATGGGAAATAGACCTCGGGGCAGACCCCTGCTAAGATGGATTGATGGTGTCAAAAAAGATCTTAATATTTTAAAGGTTAAAAACTGGAAAACAGTTGCCAAGAGTAGAGATGCCCGGAGAAGGCCAGGGCCCTCCCAGGGCTGTCAAGCCATTGAAGAACAAGGAAAATAGTAATTTCGTTTCCACAACTATATGTCTATAGGTATGCTCCGAGATGATGACCCTGGTTGAAATGTATCATCTATCACAGCCTGTTTCACGTACTGCAAATATCGTTTTGGCACACGCTCACAAAGGCCTTTTCAATATTTCAGACGTTTTTGTAGAGGAAATTCTACCGTGAAAACAAAATTTATTCCATGTCCTTGGATAAAGTACATTCATTACATGCATTCCAAGTTAAGTTTCTAAAACTCTGTCTCTAAATTTATAGTTTTACTCAGTATTTAAACTCACTTAATTTATAATTTTTAGTAAAGTAGATTAAATAGCCGACATGCAAAAGAATTTAATGTAAGAAATAATACAGTAATTAACCTTACAAACTGAAATAAAACCATGCAGATAGCATTCACGAACTTTTCTAAAATAAAAAAAACCTCATCAATCTAATGCAGCTAGAGATGCATGGCATTCACAGTTAATGCTGACACTTTTCCTGCCTCAGAAAGAGCAAATATAATAATATCAAAGTAATGTCTAAATGGAAAAGACAGTTTTTTTAAACAGCTTGAGTTTAAAATGACGCAAGTAAATAACACATTAAGAAAGCAGAACCTTTAAAACTTTTCAAAATTGACTTCATCAGCTTAATAAGGGCACAAATACAAGTAATATCAAAACAATTGTTAAACAGCAGTGTTGCTTTTGAAGACATTTTACATGCAGTTGTTGATTTTCCAACTAGTATATATTAGTATAACACATTTTCAATATGACCAAGAAACACACTCTTTCGGAAAAAAGTAGAAGAATGTGCACTTCAGGACAAAACTACGAGTCCTAATTAATCTTTTAAAGAAAGACTTCTTAAGTACAATTTTCATTTAAAGATAATGCAGTTTGTCAAATACTAATGCAGACTCCTCTTGGTTATCAGCAATAATATGCTCAGTGATGGAAAACAAATTTTCAACTAATGTATCAGTTATTGGACATAAACAGATGACCTCCTCTGCATTTCACAGCACTTTTCAATATGAAAAATAATTTTAAAAGAAAAACACTTTTTGAGTTTTCACTAAAGAGAATTCTACAGCAATCATGAAAATTGATATGCTTTGAAATTTCTATCTGATCAGAACATTTATTATTCTATCTCTAAACTATAATTACATAACTTACCATTTTAACAGGCTACACCATGAATAAAGCATTTAGAGAATCATATTTTTTTACAAATACATTATACACTGCAACAGAAGAATGAACCGATGATTAAAAGTTTAGTTAGTTTTGAAGTGAAGAACATGCAAAACGCAGTATACAAAGCATTCACCTCTAACAATAAAAGCAGTTGTTATATAGCTGTGTATACAAACAAAGACTTTTATATGGCACATTACAGTTCATATGATTTTAATTTTATGCTTGAATTTATCTGCCACACTGGCTGGAAGATCTTGTCTTGCCAGTATATTTGTGATTATTGACTAGGTGTTTTCGACTGGCGAGATATTAAGAAAACCTTATGCTCAGGGCTAAAACTGAACACTTTATATACTGAAGAAAATTAAATGTTGGTACATAGCGTGGGCAATGTACAAACATTCCTCTGTAGAAAGGTTGTAATAGAGACTCCAAAGATATGGCACAGCCACTGTCATTAAAACCTCAGTAATGGAATAATGATTGGTCAAAGTTACCACATATGTATGTGGCCAACAGGTGAACAAGATGAATACCCAATGGCACCCTATACTATATATTCAGGTACTGGGCTGGTATGATGACAAAGAATGCAAACTTCCAGTTTTCATTTCTCAAGGTGTTCTACAAAGGATGAGACTTTCATGATGCTGTAAGCAAAAGCATGACAATGTTAAGCCATTAATGCATCTGTGTGTACTGTTATGTTGATTCTGATTCCCATGCTATATATGAGGATGGAAAATGCAGGATATGAGGTTTGCTAGTTGTGGTATTGGAAAGTAAAACCTACTGATATTCCACACATCGTTTAAGATGGCTATTATGCGCCTATAAACTGTAAATTCTATTAACAATCATAGGATTTTGACCAACAGAAGCATCAGTTCAGCGGTATGATAATGCACAGTTCCAGTAGAGCAACTCTACAGCGACTGAATTCTGAGATATATTGAAATGAATTTCTTCTTTTTACAACAAGCATAACATAATCTCCAATTCAAAAAAGCAACAAACAGACACAATTTCTGAATACTACTTTGCCAAACTTTTGCTTCTAATGAACACACATCTGTTCATCATTTGCATATCCCAACATATTTTAGCTTTCAAGCAAATTTCAAACTTTTTGTGTGCTTCTTTCATGCTGTAACAATTTTAATGGCCAAAAATGTATAACTACTTAAAAAAAAAAACAGCTAATGCTAAGAATTATTAACATAGAAAAAACTGCTTGACTTAACATATTTTTCATGCACATGCTATTTTTTTTTTTTTTTTTTTTTTTTACAAAAATACACTCTGAAGCTGATAATTGCAATCATTTTGGAATTTTAGTAAATTATTTCACATTTTCTAACCCAGCCTACCTCTGTAAACACATATAATAAATGGAAAACATAAAAACTGTAATTCCTAAAACATTCAGGAGAGGAAAAAATGATCTAGATTATGCTGTACAAATTACAATTAAAATATACATAAATTATTAAAATATATACTTAAACACAAAAAAGTAAAATGATGCTACATTTTCACTTGCACTTATACTTTGTGGATGTATATAAGAATTGTTCAGGAAATTAAAAAAATAAACATGACTAAAACAACAATACATATTTTTATTAGATCTAAAATCACACAACAGAAGCAAAGCTTCTAAACACAGATTGGCACAACATCAATCTTCAGCATCTGAACCACTTGTGTAACCAAGCTGGGTGCTCCACCAGCTATGTACTTCCACAACAACAGTACTCATTTTTTGAGATGGTGGTTGAACTGTTCCTTCTTCTTCTTCTGGAGTGGGAGAGGACAATTCACTACTTTCACTCAAATCAGGTAGTCCTTTCGAAACTGCAATAATAATAATAATAATACAGGTTTGAATACGCAAGATACTTAACATATGCACCAAAAATAATTAATAAATAACAATTTTAACAAAATGTGATATGAAGGCTGTCAGTTTTGATAGAAAACAGCTAATAATTTTAATAGATAAAGTGAAAAACACATTTTAATTACAAAGACAATTTCAATTTAGACATCCTAAACTTATATCTTTAATAATTTAAATGAGATTATTTTAATATGTAAATTTGAGAATGAAGAATTTTAAGCAGATGCACGGTTTATTTGTTAAACATTTCGCATTAATTGTAACTTTACCAGGTTAGATTAATGGAGATAAGAACAGCCCATTACTCACATACTTTCTAAAACATTTCAGCTTTGTTTTTTGTGTTAACTGCTGTCTAGCCACATCACCTTACATTATCTTCATATATTATGGGATGGAAGAAAATGAAAGATATATTTCAATATTCATGCATATAGATCACATAAAATATATAATTCATGATACTGAATAGTATTGTAAATACATAACAATCCAGAAAATTTAAATCGGGTAGTTCCTTTATTGTTGTTATGCAGTAGTAAGATCTTAATAAGCTTAAGCTGATATGTTTTGCATTGTTAGAAGAAGAATAAATGAGCACTTAATAGTACATATAATACGGAATAAAACTATCTTATCTAAAACTACTTTTGAAACTGCAATATATGATCCTAAATTATATTTTTTAAAAAAGGCTACTCCTTGCGCACAGAAGCATTGGTAAATCATAACATACATTTTCATATACTAAAAATAAAGTATGGTATTTAGGATGAAAACTGAAAGATTTGATGTAATGTATGCAGTCACTTCCAAATGAATGAAATTCATCTATAAAAAGCACTTTCTTCTACAATTAAAGTACCTCTAGCAGAAGATTTTTAACTTATTCACTTCTTACCCTTTACAGAACTCAACAGCATTTCCATTCACCAATGCCATAAAATCCAGTATCATAAAGTAGCTTTTAAAAGATGAATACAGAAAAACCATTTCAATGCTCTCTCTCATACTAAACACTTACTATGGTTTTGCAACAGCTGGATTTAACTTTCTTTATGATAAGTTTACCATCTCAAATAGTCACTAGATTCATTCAATCATTTCTAGAAGCCTTTTCCACTTACTGAGTCTGAAATAATACTACACACATGCACAAATCTGCACTTTGCTCCATACAAAGACTTGATATGATAGACAGATATCGTCTCGCAAATGACGATGATGTATTTTTTTGGGGAAAGGGGGTGTTTCCATAGCAGAATACTTGATAGTCAAGCAAAGGAGGATATAAAATGTCAGTGAAATAAAAGGTTTTTAATTGGTGCTTTCCTTGAACTTCAGATAAACACGGCACATCGAGGTATGACATGTGATAAAAGCATAAGATGAATAACAGGGTGCGATTAATTGCTATGAGTATGACAATGATAACTGCTATGAGGTGATGCATTACTTCAGAATGGATACTATCCATGACTCGATATGATAGACATACGATACGATTGATATGATAAGAACAGATATCGTCTCGCAAATGACGATGATGTATTTTTTTGGGGAAAGGGGGTGTTTCCATAGCAGAATACTTGATAGTCAAGCAAAGGAGGATATAAAATGTCAGTGAAATAAAAGGTTTTTAATTGGTGCTTTCCTTGAACTTCAGATAAACACGGCACATCGAGGTATGACATGTGATAAAAGCATAAGATGAATAACAGGGTGCGATTAATTGCTATGAGTATGACAATGATAACTGCTATGAGGTGATGCATTACTTCAGAGTGGATACTATCCATGACTCGAATCTCACATTTTATAGAATTCCCACTCTTGTTCCAGTCTTCGACAGCTGCATTCCATGCATCAGCATCACTGCAACACACTGAAGAGAACAATAGCTACAGCCACACTGATAACCTCACTGACATGCCACAAGGATGATGTCCAGGATGACACACAGTCTTGGCTTCTACAGTGGGATTATAAGGCATTTATACTTTGAGCACTGCACAGATGCATGGGAGAATGCAAACTTCCCAAAGATTTTTAACAATCACATAACTGCAACTTTCACATCAGTGTAGCAACATTTACTTCTCGCCATTCACACAATCAAGTATAAAAGATAAAATAAATGTAATGAAGTAATACTAAATTTATTAATAAACTAATAAATTTAAAGACAAATAATTTTAATAAAAAATTTTCAAAACTCAAAAACTTAACTATTTTATTTAATCTTCACTGTAACATTGTTTTTAATGGTATCATACCACTAAAAAGTTCTAAATTCACTAAATTTCAGACCTTCCACTACAGTTTTGTGTACGTACTATGAAACTAAGAGAAGATATACAAAATTTACATAATTTAAACAAAGTTCTTAATTATTGATGCATCATAAAGTTAATTATTTATTCAGTCATTATTATTCTATCAAAAATAATGCAAGATTTGTTTCATATGAAAGGTTCAACCAATGCAATAATTCAGATAATATCAGTAAATTTACGATGAAGTTAATATGGAAGAACTTATTCAAAATGAAATCATTTATTGCTCTTCTTTCACTCTTTAATAAAATTTTAGGGCCATCATAATAATTTTTATGGCAAAAACCATATGGACTAATAGCTTTGTAGCAGATAATGAAATATTCTCATGTACTGATTTAAAATTTGAAATTTATTTAAAAGCTTCTTTATACTTTTTAAATTTTCCAAGCCCACATTAAAACTGAAATTTGAAAAGATATTTCACAGCTTTTAAACATGCAACAGTTGATTATCATAAAAAAGTTAATCCTCCCTTCCTAACATCTTTGTTGAGGATGTGATATGAACACTGATTCATATATTAGATGCAGTGAAAACTATAAAACTCCTTACAGCCTAGTCCATTCATTACCAGCTGAAACCAACATGAGCCAATATTCTTGATCTTATCAACTAGATTAATCATTTTAATTTTTATATAGATTTATCTAAGTAATGGACAATACAAGCAAAATCAAATACAAATGATATCAAAATTAATTTATAAATAAAACTGCAATATGGTTCAATCAATATAATTTATGAATCTACCAAACAAAGTATTTTGGAAAGTTTTGATGCCTGCAAGCATAGCAGATTCATAAAGTACAGGGTTTAAGAGCCTATCATACCCTTAAAATAGCAGATTTACTATTTAAAAAAAATAGTTGGAAACCTTTTGAAATGAAACCTCTCATAATTGTGAATTATAAGACTCCATAAATTCCCCTGTACTTGAATGTACTGTTTGATATTTTTACTGATTTTATGCTATAGTGAAGATGGAAACATAGGTGCTTATCATAATTTGAAACTGAGCACTAAAAAAAGAAATTTATGATGCAACATTTAGACATGTAATTAGTAATATAGGACTAATTTATTCAGGTTATAACCTGGCTGTCTTGCATTCCATTTCTTATTTTGAAATCTGTCCTTTTCAGCTCTGACAGCTCCATCAGAAAGGGAAGGGGCCAAAAATTTTCTCCCACCCTGAAATAAAACAAATAAATTTTTTCTACATAGGAATAAAATAGCTGATGTTTTCAAAACATTAATATACAGATTTATTTTAAACAAGTACAACAATTTAACCGCTGTTTCTTATATTCTTAGAATAAAAAAGCCCAAATTCTTTGTATATAGAACAAAGTCCGAGATCCGGAATCGTTGGGACTTTGGCAATTTTGGGTTTTAGATAGATCCAGATTTTAGATCGCCAGTTTGTAGATACAAAAAACTAGGGCTTCATTTCCAGCTGAAACAGAAAAATGCTAACCACTCAAGAGGATATAATGTGATATTGACCAGCATCAATAGAACATCAGTGAAAATACTGTCGTTGGCCACAGTGCTCCTCCTAACCATCAGTTGTTTAAATGTGACATGCAGGAATGTTGGTTAGTCCATAGAAAATCATATTTATGGCACACTTGCTTCCTTGTTTTAATCAATATTCTGTATTATTAAATTTTGTAAGGGAAGAAAAGAAATTTTTCTTACATATTTTATTTTTCATTTTTTAGCTGGTGGTCTATAGGTCTGGGTATTAGATCATTATATCAAATATTGCACATCTGGATTTTAGAGATTGTACAGTATTTAGTTGTTCACATATTTTACCCCTCAATTGAAAAATTCATAGCCTAGCCCTTTAAAATTCCATGTAGAAGTCATACTACTACTTCTCAGTATGGCTTAATATATATTGGTCAGTTCAGCTAAAGCTTTATAATTTCACTTTAAACCAAATAAGATAAAATAAATAAATGTTTAATTGTTTACAGTTCCTCATTTCTGTACCTTGCCTTAAATGTTTTATCTGCCAGAATTCGCTAGAAAAACTATTCTCTCACTTTAGCTTTCATTTCTAGCATATAAACAACAACATCAAATACCACTTCTGCAATGTAATATCTGAAATTTTGCATTTGCGCAAAATATACTAAAGAATATTCATGGATTTTATAATAATGAAGACACAAACAATTGCCAAATTTTTAAGCTCAAATTTATACTATATAAAACACTCTTTGCATATTTACTGTAAGGTTTAAATCACTATCTTTGTTGCAGACATTTTAACATATATAGTACACACGTTTACAAGTTTGTTACAATGGTTACATTATCGTGTTTGTTATCAGTGAAATGAACACATGTATCTGATAACACATATTTTATATTTTGCTATTAAATCAGTCATATGACTACTACACACATATGTTAATACTACAGTCTTCTTCGAAGTGCCCAATAAATTATTCTAAATATGCAGGCATTTTATATATTTATAATTACTAAATTAACCAGAAGTAGTTTTAAATTTAGTGTAAATATGCTTAGCAATATTTGTCTAATCTTCCAGACCTGCAGTACCAAATCCATAAATGATTTTTCAAACAGCAGTCAAATAATTTTCATATTTATAGTGATAGGATAAATCTGATTGTTATCCTGGGTATGGCACGTAGCAGCATTTGACGTTTTAAATCACTTAAAAAAATAAGCATTTATTGTAATATTTTTCAAAAATATATCAGTAGTAACAATATGTTGAAAGTTTCCCCTTTATGTATAGACATACTACGCTTTTTGTTAATACTTAAAGGGATTACACTTTTCACATTATAGAATTTTTAAATATGAATACTATCATATCAAACCATTTAAACTAAGCACAAGCAGTTAAACTTCCTATGTACTCATGTTTTTTTAAGTTAACAAAACTGTGCTGGGTTATGCACTGTTTTAAATGGAAAAACTTTCCTTATATTCTCAACCTACATTTCTTAAGAAACCATTCTATGCATTGAAAAAAACTTCATATTTTGCATATCTGATCTGCACTGAAAAGAATTGACAAATTTGATATTTGGGTTACAGCAAATTTGCTTCTATTTTTATTCGCTGTTTAACTTATTGATATTATTATTCACTGTTAAAAATGACAATATATTCTAACAATAATTTACAAAACAATACTAAATTCAAAATCAATGAGTTAATATTTAATTTAAAAACACAGTTACCTGGGAGGAAATGCTGTCCGACCTTGTGGGCAGCTGGCCCTTTTTACGATGCCTAACTGAGGCAGCTGCAGCCTCTTCTTTGCCTTCCTCTTTTATTTCAGATGCAACTGGCTTATTTGGAAGAATTTCAGAGCCCGCAAGCAATGCTTCAGTTGTAGCTCTTAGACTATTAATAAGACTATTCTGTTGTTTTTGCTAAAAAGAAACATACATACATTAATTAGAATAAGCATTAAGGGATCGCAAGAGCCCTTTGTCAAACTCAGTGGTAAAGGATCAATTAGCGGTAAAGGAATGCAAGACTCTAATTATTTTGTCATTCATTTGCACTACATTTCTTTGAAACGAGCTGGCAGGAGATAATTGTACGCATGACAAAAACTTTATCGTTAAACATCAATTCCAAAATGTTAAATAAATAATTCTATTTAAATTTCTTTTCCTACGCAGACTTCACAAACTAAACAGAGAACTGTTAGCAGTTGTCTAACTGCCATTAATTAAATAAATGTTCAGCAAATTTACTGGGATTAGTAGAAAAAAAGCAGGTCTAAAATTTTGTAGATGCACTGAGTACATTAAATAAAAGAAATCATTCCAAAGTTTTTCATAAAGAACATAAACCTTACTATACCCCCCAAGGAAAGGTGGGAAAAAGACTAAACTTTTAATCATTAGAACACATAATTTATTCTAACAAGTCTTACACCATTCTTTTGTTAAAAAACAACTCAAAAAATTTTCAACTGTTGAAGTGTCTATATACTTTAGTTAATGATTTTAATTTGATCTTTACTCTTTAAGAGCTTTTACACACAATCAAAGATATGTTACACTGGAAACATATCCAAAATACCATAATCTGCAGACAAGCATACTGTGAAATTTTCTTTCCTTCAATTCAGAGGGATCGGAGATATTCCTGCATGCCTTGCATTTTGTATGGAGGAAAACATATCCTAATAACCATTTTATATCAATATTAACCACATTGTGGTAGAATATTGCTCATCATCTTTGTTAGAAATGTTATTGTAACTTTAGGGTCCCACTGGCATGCTTTGCTTAATGAATAAAAATGCTTAATGAACTTAAAAAAGCATAAAAGCTAGTTTGCTTTTACTTTTATGAGAGCAGCAACAATTTTGATTAGAATGAAAGGTAAGCTACCATATTAAATATAATATTTCACAATAGTGCAGAAACAAAAAATTAGGAAAAAAAATTATAACACATTACTATTATTACTTTATATTTTGTTTTCAGGCATACCAGTGATTAGAAGTGCATGAAGGCCTAATCTGAAATTTCTGAGCTAGATATCCCTACAATAATTAGGAGTAGTTATGCAGTTTATATATATTGTAGATGTGTTAGGTTTTTTTTTTTTTTTTTTTTTTAATCAGGAAAGTTAAGAAATGTGCAATGCCCTCACCGGGACTTGAGCCTCGGACCTCTCGAATATGCGCCGAGTGTGCTGGCCATTACACCACAAAGTCATGTTAAGAAGGTGAGAGAAATACCTTAAGTACTCTTCCTTTTAAAGGGCAACTGGGGATTAGGGGACCCAATCGCCGAATATTGGTGGTGGAGAATCATCAGCCACCACCCTTTCTAACTCGGGCGCCACCATACAGACATTAGGATTTTTAAATCAGGAAATTGAAAAAATGTGCAATGCCCTCACCAGAACTCAAACCTTGGACCTCTTGAATACGCACCGAGTGTGCTAGACATTACACAATGAAGGCAGGAGAAATGTCTTATAATATAACAAATATCTCTTGTGTTTTTTCTTTAAATTTAAACAGCATAATTAGTTTACATAATGTGATAATTAAATCTCTTCCTTTTATTTTGCAATTTCATTTAGCAAAATAACTGTTTCTAAGAAGCTACAAAATTTTAGAACAAAAATATAGCAAGAAAAGAAGGTCTTATTTTCAAGTACACACAGTATTTTTACTTTTATTTTTATTTTTACAGTCTGTGTTACATTATATTATTTTTGGTTTTAAGAACTGTTTGATACTGAGAGAGTTTCTGAGGATCTAAGAATTATCAGATTTTCTCTGCACATATTAACAGTAACTACTATTTCACTTTACACCATTTTAACTTAATGAAGATTTCAGAAGAATGCTACTTTTCTTCAAAATAAGGCATACCTGCATCCAATCTGAAATGCTCATGAAACGTACAAACAAATATCCAGTGTACTGTTGAAATTACAGTTAAAAAGGTAGCATTTTATTAGACTAGATGACAAAATTTTTTATATACATATTAATGAATAGATAATCTAAAATCAAATGCAGTCATAATAAGGCTCCAGATTTTCAATATTTCACTCCAGATTTTATACTAGAGAATAATTCTACTAATACATAATTTTAATATTCAGTAAAAGCATATTTTTTTTATATTATAATACACTGTTGTATAAACATTAGCTACACTGCTTTTATATTCCAGAGTTAAAGGGATATATTATTAGAAAATACTTACTGCTTTAATTCGGCGAAGACACTTGTCAAGCCACTGGCGTATTGTTTGCTTGGCGACTTCTTCCTCAATTAAATATTCTAGTTCTTCTCTTGCTAGGAGTTCTTCAAGTTGTAGCGCTTTTCTGATGTCAACTGATCTGTATGATAGCATGCTAAAGGACAGGCCAAAAAATTAGTTTAAAAATCTCATAACACAGTCAGAACTCATAGCATTTAAACAGCTTAAGATAAGATATATGAGCACAGTTTTATTACTGATTTATTTTAATGCACAAAAACGCTTTTAATTAAATTTCTACTCAGCACAATAATAAAAAATAAAAATGAATACAAAATTACTAATTACATAAAAAATTTTCAAATTTCAATCATTTATCAAAACTAGGGAAAAATATCTTGACAGCTTCAATCAGTTCTAATTTCAAACATGTTGCCTCCTGGATTCAATTTTAAACTGAGCAGGCATTATACTTTTCCTGTAGCCATTGAAGGATAAAAGCAAACAAACAAAATATTTATATATAGATAAATATAAAAATGAATAAATAAAAAGTAAAAAACAGTTTGAAACTTAATCCAATTGCAAACTGATAACATCAACAAGTGGCAGTAATAATGCAAAATAATACTATAAAAAAAATTAAAAATATGCTTAAAATTCATCGCATAATCAATTCGGAATACATCACATGCAAAAACCAAAAATTGAGAGCACAGTGACAAACTGCAAGAAATAAGGCAGCAAAATATGGCAAAACCAAAAATGAAATACTAAATTTATATCTTTTGCTGCATTGTCATCAGACAGTTGGTGCAACAAAAGAAGTAAATAAATAAAATAAAATAAAATATATGTGCATGCATAAAACAGTGATTTTGAAAATTACATAATTTAACAAGATGTAGTCAGTTATCTGAGTAAAAATAGTAAATAATGAAAAAATTACCCATACTAGAATTATATTCTAATTAGAAATTAGGCAAATTAAACCCAGACCTAGCCATCACAAAATTTTCTCATGCATGGGCCCTAAAATTATCTTCAAACTTAAGCACATATTATTTATTCATCTGTTAACAAATGTTTCTTCTGTTAACAAATCAGCATAAACTTAGCTGTGTTATTTGATTAGTAGCTGAATGGGCCTTAACTTCTCAATTCGATTCTAAAGTGGCTATAAAGGTTTTTGCCATGGGAAAGTCATAGGAATAAGTGTTCTTGAATTTATTTTTAATGTGGTAGCATTTTGGGATACACTAAATTTCATTTTAAGTAAACTCTTGATAACCTATGCTTTCAAAATTCTAATTTAATAATATATGCAGGCTAACTGAAATGGATAATAACGTGATTTAATGCGATTGTATTTTTCTGCAAAATCTTATACAGTTATTTAGATATTTAATGATAAGTGAATCATTTAAAGTACATCCACTTACATTACTCTATAAATGTTTATAGACTTATTAATGCATAATTACTGGTAAAGAATACTTAATCATAATGAAAATTGACAGTGGGGGTTCAGAAATAACAGGACAACAGAAAACAAGGACAGTGGAGGGGGGTTCAGAAAGAATACTGTGCTTAGGGACCCAACATTTCTTAACTTAGAATTATAGATTTTCATTTTTTCTTCTAATTCAGGTTAAGCAGGTTAACAGGGGGATTAATTTTATAACAGAAATTATTTCATTTCAATAACTCAGCTAGTCACAAGATCGAGAGATTCCTGTAACTCCACGACATTCTCAACATTTCCAAGAATCCTGCTCCTATGACCATGCAAGACTATGTAATGACTCATAATGCAGTACATATTTTATGTACTCATAATGCAGGACAAATTTCATTAGTAAACAGTGCAAACCTCAAAAGAGAATGACAGGCAGCAACTCAGTTAGAGTAAAGCACTACAGTTGTGTGTGCTGACATGATGCCCTGCTCACTCATATTTTAGTGAAGCTAATAAGCTTCACTAAAAAATACAGCTACATGATTAGTTTTTAAACTTTGATCAAGGAAGAACTTCAGAACTAAGGACATGTGAATTTTCTTACTCAGACATTAACATTTAAATTTAGTGGAACTAAGCCAGATTGATGACAATATGGCTTTACTGAGTTGAAGAAAGACAAACTTACCAACATGTGTGACAGTTCTCATCTGCAGCAAACCATCATCGTCAGCAGCCATTCCTTAGTTATTGTTAATTTTAAAAAATGGGGCATTTGTGACTGCAATGACTCCAAGTATGTCATGCATAGATAAGTATTAGTATCATATCATCTTTTTAGTTGAATATTTCTTCTGTGTGCAGCAGCATAATGGAAGAGTAAGTATCTGGTGATAACTTATTCTGGTGATATCTGGTTAATAAGTATCTGGTGATGAACAGTCAATATAGTTCTTTAATTCCCATGCCTCTTACATATTTCTTAGTCTTGAACATCCAATGATACATCACTCAGATATTGAAGATAGTGGAGATATCTGATTTTTGCAATTATCCCTGGTGCTATTTACTAACTGGACAATATATCACCACATGAGTCTCATAGCATAAAACATCTGTCATGCACTACTGTCACCTTGCTTACATGCTTACCACAAATACCAAAAATGAGCATCTGACCACACAGAGACCCACAAGGGCCTTGCCAAGGGTTGTGGCCCTTGCCAAGGGCCTTTATATAGATTTTAAGAAGTTGACAAATTATCTTCCTATTCCTCATAATTTTTAACTCATTTAAAAAAGGGAAAAAGAGGAAGAAGTAAAGGACAGTGGACACTGAAATAATGTTGTGCCCCAAACTGTCTAAACTTAATAATACAGATATAACATTTCATTCTTTGTATGTTGAAAAGTGTAGTAGAAGTTACTGTTTTCTATGTTGGGCATAAAAAATCTTGATTATTTTTTAATCCACAATTCCAGCAGAGTTGATTTTTGTAACTGATTTGTCTTGGCAAAACAAGTTGTAGCTTCAATAAATTGAATAAATGTAACTCAGATCTTTCAAAATTCAGGTTGCTTTTTCTATGATGCATTTTTAACAATGAGCAGTGTACCACATTCTAACTCAAGTGCCTTAACATCTCCTATACTTTGTCAATTCCCATAAAACTAACTTTTTTTCAGGTAAATTTGCTATTATCCTCAGAAAAGTAATTTTTAAAGGCCACTTTCCTTTGACATCCCTTGTAATATGATATCATGGAGAGCAGATTTCTCATTCAATACTTCTACCAACTCTTTACTACATATAGCAAATACTGTTATTAGAAATATCAGCATTTATTACATTATGGTTACTACACATCTATATTTTAAAACTCTAAAATAAAAATTTTCCTTCATTTTACTTTCTTATCTTTACTTCAGCCTCTCTTTAAGAAGGAGCCCAATGGGATATGTTACTTATGTAACACATTAAGCCAGTCTCAGCAGCAGTATTGCAACATGTTTTAAATTGCAGAAGTTTATATGTATGGAATTTTTATAAAGTCATGTTTTTGGATATTCTGTATGCATAAAGAAAAATAAATTTAATTTAAGATAATGCTTACCTCCTTATATTTACAACATAACAGAAACTCTCTGTTTCTTAAAATATATAAAATTAAGCTTAAACTGGAATTATGCATTTTTAGAACAATTCATGGAGATTTTTATTCTTCAAATAGCATAACTATTCTACTCTGTTTTCCCATATTTTGCTATTTAAATAAACATAAATAATTTATACGCTGGAAAAATTGTAACGCTACCTATGATGTAAAAATTGGAAAATGGAGCAAAAAATAAATTATAAGATAAAATATTTAATTATTTGTAGAAAGATGAGACTACAATTAAAATCACAATTTGAAGTTAATAATATATGCTGAAAGCTTCAAAGAAATTTAACATACTGTCAGAAGGTATTTTTAGCAAAAGTTAAAAAAGGGGGGAGGACAAATGATTAACGATGGAAGACTGATCAGACTGATTCAGTTCCCCTTTGCATACATAGAATTTTCTTCATGACTACAAAGTTTTAAAATTCTCTTAGTCCAGATCAGGATAAGTCAACCTTTTTATACCTACTGCCCACTTTGTAGGTAGTAAAATTTCCTTACCGCCCAGCAGTTTTGCAGCAATTCAGCAAAAATGCCAAAGCAAATTTTTTAGCAGAGCCTTAGCATATATATATTATATATAAAATATAATATATATATTGTTGAATTTTTCTATATATTTATATTTTGCTTACATTTGGAAGAGAGAGAAAAATAATGTTCCTCGTAGCTAGAAGGGACATTGGTTCCGGCAAAACTGTTTTGGCTAGGATTACTTCAATGGTAGCAAAAGGAGAAATTAGTTTCTCAGAAAAATTTCTTCTGGTCTCATGCTTTGTTAAGATGTGATAATCCCATTATCGGGCTATAGTCACAAAACATCTAAGAGAAGTAGCAAAATCTTATATATATGGAAACTGGAGAGAGCTGCATATGAAAGAACAGACTTTCATAATTGGATGGACAAAAGCCTCAGTATCTACCATTAAAACTTAAGTCATTCGCTCCAGGTTGACTAACCTTGGTTTAGATGATGTATGCCAAACATTCCAAGCATTAGTATCTGCTATACTGCAGCTGATAAATTTTCTAGAAAAAAATTTATTTACATTAATAACGTTAATTTTAATCCAGTGTTTCTAAAACTGTGCAAATGTTTCTTTTCAATTTTATTTTGCCTTCCTCTACAGATTTTAAGTTCAGTGCATGGTACAAAAAATGCTACCATTTATTTATTAAATTTTTTAGTTTTTAAAACTTTATTTGTCTTGCTATGTGAAGAAATTTGACAGAAAATGCAGAACAATTTTTCCTCTTGAAGAAATGAGAATATAAAGCAGCTAACATTTTCTTAAAATGAATACGGAACTTTTTATAATTAACACTAGTCTAATATCTGATTTTAAGGGTTAAATTGGCTTGCTTCTCTTAGATTATTCCGTTTTCAGTTATCAGGATATTTTTTAGCAACTTTAGAAAATGGGATTAGTCACAAACATTTAATACCAATTAATTTTTTTAAAACACTAAAATAAAAAATAAAAATTTTATTAACTTAATAAAAAGAGACAATTGAATATGATTACTTCAAAACATCATGAAATGTTACATCCTCTCCATTATGCATTCTTTCCATTTCATAGCACATGTGTTTAAAAAGCAACCGGTCTCTGTCAGGATCAACTTCAAGTCTTCCCTAAGAAGGAAAACACTAAATTAACTTAAAAAAATAACCACGTAAAAAATGAATATAAAACTAAATAATTCAATTAAACTAAAAAAACATACCTTGAGTAATCGAAGTAAAAATTTCACTCTTCGCACTGGAATAAGACCCTATTAAAGAAAGAATTTCAATGAAATAATGCAGACACACAAAAAGTAATCAAAAATGCATTTTTTACACACTAATTTTAGCAGAATTTTTCGTTAAGACAATCTGGAACTTCTTTCCCATAAAAATCAACTTTTTAATAGTCACTATGAAGATAATTTGTATAGTTATAAATGAATATTTGTAAATGTATGAGTAAATCAAAATCCCAGCTACATATTCAATAGGTTTTAAATTTAACACACTGCATAGAATAAATGTCCAAAACTACTTTCTTAGTTTTATACACAGTCTAAACTGAGTTAGATGCACTTAGCATAGCAATCAAGTATAGATTCCAGAAAAAAAAAATACTCTGTCACAACCTAGAAACTATTACAGAACAATATACTTCAGATTATCGCTATATAAACTACAAACTCTACTTAATTTTTTGGGGGAGGGGATCAATACCACTACGAGCAAGGTTTATAAAGTGAATGGGGGAGAAGCTAAAATCCATACATTTCAATAACACCATAAAAAATCTAAGTCTTATTTACTGGAACATATTACGAAAAGCCAAAATGTTCCTGCTGAGTCTGGAATGGTATTTTACATTTATGACTTGCTGAAGTTGAACCAACAGGTTTAGCCAACAGGCCAACATAAAAAACTGTTATCATTGCATTACATGGAATATAATTAATATGCAGTAACCCTTCATCAAAGCCCAAAAATGGTACCTAAATTTTTCTCAGCATATTTATTTGCATGGAATATATCAGTATAAAGTAATCCTCCATCATACCCAAAAAATTGCATACAAATTTTTCTCAGCATATATTTTTGGTTCTTTCTTATGATGTGATGGACAGGAGATCCATCATGATTCTTCTAAATGCTCTTGTTTGGCTTCTGGATCAAAATGGGGATGCCAAATTTTATCTTCCATCATTAGCCATGACTAAAAAATTCTCATCAGCATTTATTATGGAAAGCAGTTCAAGAATCAGCCTGATGTGTTTTCATTTCTATTATTAATATTCTGGCACAAGCATTCATATTTCCAGCTTTCCATGCAAGATATTCTCTACTGTTTAACACAAAACATTTTCATAGTAGTCTAAAAAACCATTTCTCATCAATTTTCTAATACATATTTTACGATTTTGGCACATATTCCTTCATGGTCTCATGCAAATTGCAGCCTGGACTGTATGTGGAAATTATCTTCAAGTGATACTCTCCCATCTAAAACATGGTAGCTTACTTTTTAATGGTGGTATTAGGAGGGTGTTGCATCACTACATATCACAACCATGCCTTCATGAATATTTGTCAGCTGTATACCATCTTTTGTTCATAACTCAATCCCAGAAAGATGTTTCATATTTTCAAAATTAACACACATTCTTAAATGATAATATTTAACAGCCTCTCAGAAACCAAATAACAGCAACATGAGCTTTCCTTTTCATATTTCCAAAAGATGATTCAACTATTTGATAACATTTTGTTACCCTAAAAGTATTACATTAATATTTATGCACAGAACTTATAAAACACTTCTCATGTTCCATCTGCAATATTATAAGAAGGCCAGAGAATACTCAAAGGTTATAGTTTACAGATTTGAGCAACAGAGTATATTTTCACCATGGCCAACAACAAAACTCAGAATTTTTAAAATCTAGATATTTTTATAATTAAAATATGTTGAAGAAGTAAATAAATTAAAATATGTACATTTAATCCAAATTTGAAAATTATAGAATTAAAAAAGATCTATCCCTACATTGGAAATAAAATAAAAAGTATAACATTTTGCAGAGTTTTAATTAAAATATAACAATTCTTCTGATTTATTGCAAATACCATATGCTTAAAATTGTATCTTTATTTTACATCAAGTTACTTCTCATGCATTGCATGTATATTTTCCACATTAATAGTGGAAAACTGATAAATTAGACTCAAGGGCAAATAAAGCATGTTTCTTCATTGTCTTGTGATATTTTTTCTTCTTTTTTGTGCTTCATAATAACAAAAATAAAAGCATAACATAAACAGAAGTTTATAATATTTCATACATTAACATAATTATAAATATATAAGTTGAATCTATTTCTATTATACACAAATCTAACATCATTTAACTGTAATTAAAAAGAAAAATATTCTGTCAGTGTTTCTATCATCAAGCATATCAGGAAAATTAATTAACCCTTTCCCCATCCTCTCCCGTCCACACAAATTTCTCTCTAGTAACCCTTTGATTTCCGCAGTGTGTAATGTTTTCTCTATACATACATAACTTTCGTAGTGGATGAATGTAAATGAATGTTAAGTAAAATTATAAGGAAATAAAGCATAATGGAAAAGTAATAATATCTCTGCTTATTTCTAACAGCAGGATTTATTTGATAACATCTGATCCAGGCAGTCCACTTCTCCCATTTTGTTGTTGTAATCTTTTACAATTATTTATTTATTTTTTTTTTTTTTTTTAAGTTCTTTTCATGTTTCAACATCAATCATAGAGTTATTAAGGACTGTACTCATCAAATGTATATCCTTCTTGTCTTTCCAATTCCCAACCTCATTTTTTCTCTTTTTTCTGCTGAATAGACGTTGAAGATCTCTCACCATCTTGTATCTTATGCAAAATGGTGCGAATATTCATAAAACCTGGGGGTGGAATTCAATTAGAAATAGAATGCCTGATTAGTACTGCCCTCTAGGAGGTATTAGAACAAAAAAAAAAAAAAAAAAAAAAAAACAAATAAACATTTAGAAAGCATTTTTAAACTGCAGAAGAATACTTAAAGCACATTATGGCTGCCCTGCAGAAGTTTCATTTGAACACGCAAGACGTGTTACGGACAATGAAGAGGTTAAAACACTCTTTATTAATTTTTCAGTAATCTTAATAACTATATTTCACTTCATGTTGTGATTTCATTCTGTTTCTAGGTACAAGAATAATGGTACAATGCATATCACCAGCAAGATGTGAAAAGGAAGATGTATAACATTGACTAAGAAAGAATACAAAAGACATTTATTCAAAAGTAGGTTCCAAACAATACCAATAGATAACAGAAACATCCAAGTGACAGGTCACAGGCAAGCAATATGCAATCCTCAGTATGGAATACACTCAACTCTGATTGAGATGCTAGTTTATGGTTTAAAATTGTTGGCAGCTACATGCTCCAGGCATCTTCTGGGTATGGTTTATATACATGTACTTGCTGTTCAGCCGGTATAGTGGTTAGTGATGTGCCAATGGTTAGTGACAGCTATATCGATAGGCCCAGGTTTGATCCTGGAGAAGGCATAGATGTTTGAAAGCATAGAGTGTCTGTGCCACAAGGGGGCACTCAAAATACATTATGTACCATAAGTCCTCTTGGGAGATTGGTGGTAGGGGAAGAAGGAGTGGGAGACCCTAAAACTGCCCCCGTAGGGTATTCTTCCTTAAAATTGGGACAGATTTGTACAGTTAGTGCAGCAGGACTGTACCTGTATGACCAACGAATTTCTGGCATCCCACCCACTTCTATCTGTACCTACATATATGTGTTCAAGAGTATTTTCACAATCTAACAACTCAGTGGCAGCTACTTCATAATGAAGATTATGTTTTACAATGAATGAAGACTCAGTTTATAACAGCACTACAGAAACGATCATACAGTATTGTTTCGAAATGTACAGGCGCGGTGAGATAGCTTCCCCGCAAAGCAGTTTTAGGGTTGCCATAAAATGGCAAGGGAATGCAGGGTTGCCACATTTGGCGAGAAATCACCCATTTAGTGACACAATTGGCGATATGCCATGGGCTGATGGAGAACCTTCCGGAACGAATTCTTACTGGTTTAGCCCAGAATGTTTTCGAACACAAGCCGAAAGCTATATAAACCCTACTGGTCTGCAGTCAGTGTGCGTCTCTCATTGAGTGAGTGTGTTTCGTCTATCGGGTCAATCCCTGCGAAGGCGATCGCATTGACAGCTGGCCAGCGAGTGCCGAGTGGGTCGTCGAGTGCACCGAAAGAGTCTCGCAGTTAGTGCATTGTCGAGAGAGCGTGTTGAGCTCCAGAAACGACTGAACTGAGAGTCAGGAGCTGTGCTCTGTGTGTCATCAAATGCATCGCAAGTTATAGCGTGGAGAGTCTCCAGAGTATGTGGAGTTCCGAGAACGACCAAGCAGAGTCGGGAGCTGTACTCCGGAAAGCAGAGTCGGGTGCTATACAGGAAGCTGTCTCCACCGTTATTGCCTGTCAGTGTGAAGGCTGTGTTGCTGATTGTTCCAGCGTGTTTATAGTAGATCTTTGATGATTGTAAAAGTGTTTTGGAGCTCTTCTGATATATTGATAAATAAAATGTGTTTCGATACTTCATCCAGTGTTGCAGTTATTCACTCCAAATCTATGAACCCCGTACGAACGTGAAGGAAGAAAATGGCGTAACAACTTGTGTTGGAAGAAAAGAAAAACACAACAGTATCAAATAAAAGAAGAAAGAGAACCTCAGTACAAAGTGGCCACTTAGTACGCAATATTTTTAGAAGATACGGAACTCTATATGGCCAACAAGCATTATGTCTTACTAAATGAGGATACCTTCATCTTCAAACTCGTACCTTTCATTGATAATAAAAGAGTAATTGCATTTCCCCACTCTCTCCAGATACACTAGTAAAATATTTTCTTCCTTCTTTCCACATGCCTTCGTGGTGCAAATGAAAGAATACTTGATGCATACTCGAGGGGTCCAGGGTTCAAGTCCCAGCAAGGGCATTACTCATCCTAATCTCCAGTTGCCTTTAAAATGGGGAGTATAGAAAGTATTTCCCCCCTCTTCCTGCATGCCTATGGTGTAACTGGAAGCATACTCGAAGCACATTTGAGAGGTCTAGGGTTCAAGTCATGGCGAGGGCAGTGCATATTTTTCAGTCTTCTGCTTAAAAAAAAGAAAAAGAAAGACTCTACATACTTAGACATCCAGAATTCTTGTTGAGACTAAATTGGCTCTTATCCGTTAATTGCAATCAACCCACTCTTGAGCCCTCCACCGTGTTTCTGCAGCTAAATTAAATGCTCTCTTTAATGGGTGTGCATTCAGAGCTGAGTGAACAAACCACATGCATGCAATCTCCAAGCCATAGTAAAACATAATATTGGACATCCAATCCTAGCTTACAAAACAAGATCAAGGCCCTCTGTCACCGTATTGCTTGTGGAAAACTACTATTAAAACTTTGGATAGTTTTTCCTGTCGTTCAAATTACTATCCAAGCTCATTTGAATGACAGGAAAATCTATCCAAACTTTTAATAGTAGTTGTTCACATGCGACATGGTGACAGATAACCTTCACCTAGGTTGACTGGGGGGGATTAGTCCTCCTTGGATCACCTCTAGGGGTTGGAGTGATTAACCGTGTTAAGGTGGCCTTGGTGCCTCTTTCTCCAAGTGCACTATCCAAGCTCATGAGTCGATTCAATGCCTGATACTTTCACGCCTTGTCCACAATAACCTTACTTAATGTACTTAAAAAAAAATTCAGCCTTGAGTAAAATCATCCAGATGCTGTCCACAGGATTGTCTGTTAAATGCATCACATTGCGACAGAAACTTGACATCATTCGGTGTGCCTTGTGCACATTGAATGATGTCATGTTTCTGTGGTTTCACACTTACAGTGCACATTTAATGCACAACACTAAACAATAATTTTCATTGATATGCTGAATATGCGCTGCTGATATGCTTTATATGCTTTCCACATGCACAAGTCCTATACTGGATATTAAGCAATTTCCCAACTTGTCTTTCAATTAGTTTTATTTTCTTGTCCTACTGTTATGCTCATTTCTTACTTTTTGCTCACTAGGATACCTTGAACTTAAGTTCTTTGAAGCTTACAAAAATTTCATTTTTTTATTAATAGGACACAAGCAGACAAAAAATTTCAAGCACATGAAACTATAATTAGTTTGAAGAGTGATTTAGTATATGAAGTTTTCCTATAAATTAAATCACACTTTCTTTTTATATGATATTAAGATTTTAATGGTACCAACAATATATACTGTATTTACAAACACAGTAAAAGAACCTAACATAGACATTATTATAATAAATAATTAATTCTATCATTATCCTGAGCAAAATTTTAATTGTTAGCTTGGAAAATTTGATTAAAAAATAGTTATGTTTTAAAATATAATCTTGGACTCTCATTTGTTTTGCTATCTAAGCGTTTCTAAAATTTTTAGGCTTCCCTTCATTAAAGACACTGTAGAGACATTAGGTTTAATGGAAGCAGAAGAGATGAAAAATGAGTAACCGCCTTCGCTGAGAATCGAACCACAGACCTCTCAATTACGTGATGAGCCTGCAGACCACCACACCAAGAAGGCATGCCAAGAAGATGGGAGAAATACTCCCACTTTAAAAAGGCGACTGGGGTTTCTACGGGACCCAATTACCAAATCCTGGGTGTGAAGAGTCATCATCCACCACCCTTTTAATTTGGGCTCCACTTGTAGAATCATTAAGATTTTTTGGAAGAAGGAGAGATGAAAAATTAGCAACTGCCTTCACCGGGAATTGAACCATGGACTTTTCAATTACGTGTTGAGCGTGCAAACCATCACAACACGAAGGCATGCCAAGAAGGTGGGAGAAATACATTACAACGCAATAAGCAATGTATTTTAGATTCTGAATGAATTCTTTTAAAGCATGACTATTACATTAAAAGGTGCTTTATTACTACGAAATCACACAGCAACACAAATGTAAAATATGTGAATTTAGAAACAAGAAGAAGAAACTAACTCTTTGCTGGATATCAACAATATTCCAAGTATTCTGAAAGTTACGAATGTCAGCATAACTTAACAAAGCATCTTCTTCATTTGAATAAAATAAGGAAAAGTTTTCCATGATTATAGCTGCAAAAGAAAAAAAAATCTCTTATTACATCAGTTTGGCATAGTAAGTAAACTATGCTGATACATAAATGGATGAACAGAAATAACAAATAGATATATGAATATACTATTAGAGTTTTCTTATGGATACAATACATGTGAAAAATGTAGCTAAGATTATTGTGGTATATATTCTTTTATTATTCTGGATACAATTAGAAACAAAATACATTTAACAGGATTTATTTATTTTAATTACAACAATAACAATATATATATATATATAAGGCTTCAACAAAGCAATAAAATTTTGATAACTTTATTTAGGAAGTTTAAAATTCTTCTTTTACAACTCTAAAAGTCCAACCCTCCTCCAAGCATCATCCATTTGTTAAAAGTTTTAAAGTACAGTTTTCTAGAACAGTGGCATTGTTTGTCAGACAAGTCTAACAAATATAAAAATGGTTGAATAATATAAGTTCTATTCTGAATAATTTAATATTTTAAGTATTTGGAAATTTTCAATAACTGCAACTTACCAACTAAAAGATTCAGAACAATGTACGTGATTATGACATAAAATGAGCAGAAATATATTAGGCTACCAGTAAAATTTCCACAGTCAGTTTCCCAATAGTTCTCACCAGGAGTACAATATGGTGGACTCAACTAAAAATCAAAATACAGGATTTATTAGCTTTAATCCATTTTCATAATTTAGTATTAGAAAATTTATTTAACAAAACAGATAAACAATGATACAAAATATGTTAAATAATTCTTTAGCTCAAAGCAATAAGAATAAAAAAAGAGGAGAAACAAAGGACTGAAAGAGTTTTAATTGTAAAATTTTTTAGAAATTTTATAATAATTTATTGGTGAAAATTGATTATAAATTGTTATGTTTTAAATATAATCTTGGACTCTCATTTGTTTTGCTAAGTCATTTAAAAATATTCTTAAAAAAAGATATTTTATTTCTTAAATATAACCTATTTAAAAATTTATTTCAGCAAATAAAAAGAAAAAAAGCCTTATGACAAGATACTGTGAAAATTTTATAATTTTTTTATAATTGAAAATTTAACACATAGTATATAAATATTAACATGTCATTGCAAAGAAAAGAACTGATTTCTTATGTGATATACACAAAACATTTTTGTGTCTTACATTGAAATATTGTATAAAATATTATAAAGAATAAAATTTTCTTTGAAAATTTATGCATTATTTCTGTTTTATATACCAAAAAATTAAGAATCTATTTATAAATCATATTTTCAAAAAGCAATTTATAAGAAATTAATAATAACATAAATAAAAGTGAATCATAACATTTACAAAAACAGTTTCCTGAATCATAAAATAGATATTAAAGAGGCTGCAAAAGATTCATATTTAAACTTTTTTTAGCAATACATATAAGCAATTTTAACCAATTTTATCATAAGTTAATATTCCATAATATATAAAATACAAATAGTGCTAAAATCTGTAAAATATAAATTTTTTCCCTTTATATTCCAGAAAATATTTCTCAGACCAATATACAAAGTAATAAAATCATGATACAAAATTCACACAGTTTCGCTTTCCAGATAATTTAATTAAAACATGATTGTTAAAGCTGTGACTATATTCATTAGTTTATAAACTAGAACAAAAAAATTTTATTAAACCTAAATAATTTTAAGTAACTGGAAAATAAATGTTCACCTGAGAATCAATAAAAAGGAGCAATTAAAAAAACATTCTCACTGAAACACAGTACATAATTAATTTATATGCATTCAAATACATAGTGTAACAGGTTGCGTGCACTTTCTCTTTTTTTGTAATTCAGTGGCAACAGAGAAAGGATGCTTTGTTCTTAAGATTTTAATTCAAGGAGCAAGTTTTGTGATTTGGATATTGGATTGTAATGGAATGTATGATGATGCCTAAATAAATGTTCTTGTTTTGTACAACTGTTACATGTGGTGCACAACAGAGAAGTCTGAGTTAACTGAGACTACCGTATAAAGCATTACAAATATGTCATTGCTAGGGAAAGCCAGAACGGCTGATATCGTAATACTGCCCTCAGAACTTGGACTAATGGCAAACAGTGGAAGTTAAAACGTTTGAGTTAAAAGAGTTAAGAGTTAATTGAATTTAGGAGAGACGAGAGCTATGTGAAAAATTATCCTGAGACCATAATTTTAAGTCAAAATGAAGATAAGCATCGTCAGCAGAACGAAGGAGGAAAAAAAACAGAAACACCATCATATGAACTGGAAAAGTTACGTTTGACCATGGAAATTCAAAAGAGACAAAAGCCTGTTCCTGCCCAAAGCCTTGTACCTAAAAATTGACTGTCAGAAGATTTTGACAAGTTTCAAGCCTAAAGAAGATGATGTCAATATATTTCTAATTTTGTTTGAAAGACAAATGAAATTGTTGAAGGTCAAAGAAAGCTTATGAGTAACTCATCTACCTGGAACTTTACCATCAGAGGTATCTAAGCTGACTACTAAAGAACCGGAGAAAAATTTCAAAATTATGCTCATATAAAAATTGCCCTCCTTGAACGAGTTAAGATGACTGTGGAAAAATTCAGGAGGTTGTACACAACAACTACAAAGAATCTAGGTGGCTTTTGAGAGGCATTTCAACTTCCAACTTCAGAAAAACTATGAAGGTTGGTTATCTGAAATGAAAATTACAATTTTTGATCAGTCAAAAAATTTGATGATTTCAGACCAAAAAGCACAATGCTGTTGATTGTAAAGAACACTTTTTGAATGAATGGGAACAACCAATTTTCCCTGATGTTTTAGCAGGAAAATTTGATACCTATGATAACATAAGGATTGTAAAGAACACTTTTTGGATGTATGGGAACAAACAATTTTCTTTGATATTTTTGCATGAAAATTTGATGTCTATGATAAGGTAAGGACTTCATTTTTGGAAGATCGCAGGAAAGCTCAAGTGAGTTTTAGTTGGATGGTCACATTCTTCAAAGAGAAAGAACTTTATTATAGGTCAGAGAAGTGCAAACACAAAGAAAAGCTTTGAATCTTCATTAAAATGCTATGGTTGTGGCATTCCAGGAATGTTAAAAGCAAAATACCCAAACTCTTCTCCAGATAAACATGAGGAAATGAGAAATGCTTTGCCTGAAGTGCTAAAAGGATGCTCCAAAACAGCCTATCTCCTATACTTGAACTCTTTTTAAAATGGTCTGAAAAATGTAATTCAGGGTGAAGAAAAATATAAGTCTCACAGACCCATCTGATTTCTCTATAACAGGATGCCTCAAAATTTTGCAAATAGCTTATGTAAAGTAAGAAAAGAGCTTTCAACTTTAAGTATGCTTAGGAGTTTTAACACTCTTTTCATTTCCAATAGATGACACAATATACAGGGGAAAATGTATTTTTACAGCTTTTACAAAACCTTTTTATATCATTCGACATTTTTAGAATGCTATACAGTACAAAGTCTGTAATCCGGATGTCCATTATCCGGAATGATCTATAATCCGGACCTCAAAGCCACAAACTTTTTTTTGTATGCTTTACGCATGCGTGTTTAATGTTACGCATGCACGTTTAATGTTTACGCACGCGCGTTTAGCACAAAAAAAGAAGCAACTTAAACAGCTTACATTGAAAGAAATGTTTAATAAAGTAAACAAATAAATATTAAGTTTTTTTTTTGTAAATTTTGATACCCTTTTAGATCATAATTGCTTTTTATTTCATAAAGTACGGTTTCATATTTTTAATTGTATAATTTCTGCATGCCATCTTACCAGATTTAAACTGATGATCTATAATCTGGAAAAACCCTTAATCCGGAATCGCCAAAGTCCTGAAGAGTCTGGATTATGGACTACTGTATATGTATTTAGAATACATAGAAAAACAAAGTAATATGGCAAAAACAAAAATTTAACCTATCCTGAGTTATAGCTGCAAGAATGAAGCAAATTAAACATAAAGCAGCCAAATTAAAAATTCAATTAAATTGGAATAAAGACAAGGCAATTCACTATTAATATTAGTAATTGAAACCATGGAAAAAGTATGGGTTAAAAAAAAAGGAAGGGTAGGATAATTTAAGTTTTTGTTTTTGGCATATTACTTTGTATTTACTGCCATTAGCAGCTTTTTGCACTATTGTTAATGTTTCCTGTAAAGAGTTTTGTCAGTTTCAGATTGATGTATTTTCAATTTTTTTTTCCTTTCATATTTAGAATACCATAAAAAAGGAATATCTACCATGCAGTCATGCATAATTTTGTTCCAGTCTTCTCCAGTTACAATTCGAAACAGCATGGCTATACCACTGGGTGCAGTCTGGAAATTGGCTTGTCTATAGGGAAAAAAAAACAAGATGTAAAACCATTATTATCACATTAATAATTTTCACAATAAATAGTAAAACAAATAGCCACTTTATATGAAGAAGAAGACTAGTACTTTCAGACTACATATATGATGATGATCATATGTGATTAATATATGATTTTTTAACCTTTGAAGATTCTGGCAAAGAAAAATATCATATTTCTCTTTTTCATAAATATTTTGATAAAAGTAAACAAATAAACAAAAACAAAAAACAAAAAAAACAAAAAAAAAAAAAAAATCATTAATATGTTGAATTGTAAAACAGTTATTAAAAAATACAAATCAGATTGCTTAAACTGAGATATTTCTCATTAAAATCAGAAAATTTTTCACAGAGAATCTGTTTCATGTTTTAGAAACTTTAAACTGATGAAAGTTATGTACACTGTGAAAAAAAAAAGGACAGTTCTACATCTCCCTTTCTATTTGGCCGATTGACAAAATTCAAATTGCGTTTTTCTTGTCTCGAAAGTGCAACTTAGGATATATATATATATATATATATATATATATTAGCTCTGTTCTAACATAGGTATTTTGACACAAAAAATCGGACCTTTTCTGAAATAATATACCAGTTTTTTTCCATATTTTGATTCTAAGATTCAAATTATGCTCAGATATTAAATTTTGTAAAATTTGATGCGAAATTTACAAAATTAAAAAATTTATGTTGGTGAAATCTTTTCAGTTTGGTCAAGAATAATTAACTTGGCGAACTTCTTAATACATGGCAACCGATTTTCCTTTCCCTTCTATTATGCCGGAGCGAAAAAAAAGGTGCCTCGCTCCTACCTTTTTACATTGTGTATGAGGAAAAAAAAGTCACATCGTTTCTACTTCCACATAATTTTAGCAAAGTGTCTAAACCACATCTGATGTTTTATCACTTGCAACAAATATACAAAATTTCAAAACGTGCCAATATATAAATTCACGAATATCTTCGTAAATTTTGAATAAAAAGCTCTAATTTTTTCACAGGTATGCTTAGAAATACGTCAACTTTTACGAGATGATGGTAAAAATTTTATAGATTATAATTCAAATTTTTTTTTTTTGAAAAAATTTATAAAATTATTTAAAAATACAAAATTTAAAAATAAATCATAAAAAATGGGTGAATTTTATTTGGAATGAACCTGAATTTTGAAATATGAAAGGAAGAATCAAATAAGTTTAATAAAAAAAAGAGAGATTAATCAATATGTACCAAACTCCATTGACATTGAGGAGCTAAAATTTAAAGAGCTAATTTTTAAAAAACTACTTGTGTGATTTTTACAAAACTTGGTAGTTTGCCGTAATTTGAGTCATAGAACTGAAATATGGAAAAAAAATTGGTATGTTATTTCAGAAAAAGTTCGATTTTGTGTCAAAATACCGATATTAGAACAATGCTATTTATAAATCTAATACATATCCAAAGTCACGCTTTCGAGACATGAAAAACGCAAGTTGAATTTCATCAATCGGCCCAGTAGAACAGGAGATATAGAACTGTCCCCCTCCTTTTTTTTTTGTGCAGTGTACATACGTAGAAGCAGAAAAGAATTGGATGGGCAGGTGGACACACACACACACACACACATATAAATTTAAAAAAAAGCATAAAGTTACAACTCTATCAGTTCCTTTAACAATGACCTAAAAACTCTTATATTTTGATCAAATTTTATGATTCTAAATTAAAAAACAAAACTTTAGTTTCATTTTCCTTTGACTGAAAATTTATTTACTGTTGATTTCTTTTTATTATCTCTTTTAATTATGACCTCACAAATAAAAATATGGAAAAGCCAAATTTTACATAAAACAGCAATGAATAATTTGGTAACTTTTGACCAGATAGGTTAGGTTTACTTACTTTCAAGTCACATACATTGTAAAAAAAAACCAAATCATATCTAAGCAATGCTGAAAAATGAGATTAAAAAAAAAAAATTCAGAGTTAGAACTAAAAAAAGAGCATCAGTTTTCCATGATACCAAAAAGAGGGAACAGTTTCTCTTAAAAACATACAAAAGTAAATTAAAAAGAAATTGAAAAAACTCTTAAAAACATAAAAGTAAATGAAAAAGAAAGGAATATGCTGTAAGGTGGTTAATGAAGTAATATCGACAAAGGATGGCAATGAATTTATTACCACTTATATTTGGAAGAACACAGTTAAAAAAAGATTTAATAATCAGATGTTGGCCTTCAAAAATGCTTGATCAAATTCTAAAATTTAGTCTTTTGCAACCAAATTGCCTGAGATGGCCTTTCATTTAAATGACTGCCTGAATGGCTGAGATCGCATGCTCTGATTCTACCCTCCTAAAGTAAACAACTTCTTTATCTTTAGGTTAAAGGTAAATTAGTATACACTAACACTAATAAAAGCTTCTTTGTTAGAAACTAGAAACAGTGTCATTTGAAACCTTTGCACCTGGGGGGGGATGAGGAGAAATTTTTGCGAATCTCATATGAAATTTCAGGTGTTCAGATTTTTAAGGAAACAGGGGAGTGAAAGCTTTGGTATTCTACGGACTAATATTATTTGTTATTTTTAGAAAGTTTGCAAATGATTCAATAAATAAATAAATGAATTTAACTGCTGATAAAAATTCTAAGTTTCTTTAAGATTTGCAAATTTGCACAAATTTTCACTTAAATAACTGCATAAATGTTATTTGTATTATAATATGTAATAGGAAATCTCTGTTTCCTCATATCATTCCTACATTCCTTGATTCATAAATTTAGAATTTTTAGTTTATTCAAATATATATAAAAGTCAAAATTGTATAAGTATCTAAAAATGTGAAAAAAAATTGCATTAAGTTTTGAAAACATTTAATTTTTTAAAAATGCGGGTGTCTCCCTCCCTCTCTCTCTATATATACAGTATCACAAAATTTTTTCATTAAAAACAGAACCATTCCAATTATTTTTGGTATTTTTCTGGTTTTTGTAAGTTTTAGGTTTTAGTTTCACCTTTCCTTAATTCTTAATTTGCATATACATTTTGAAATTTATTGGTATTGAATTTCACTTCTTTTGTGTTTTTGTGTAAAATTGGTTCTAAATTTCTTACTATTTATCTATATATATTTATGTAAGATAAAAAAAAAATATGTAAATCAGCTTTATTATTTATGAATAGCTTCTTAATTCCTCATTTTTAATTTGGGTATTTGGTTTCTCTATTCTAAAAATAACAATATTTCTGAACTGTGGCATTTCTAGATTAATCTATGCCATAAAGCTGATGACGTAGTTAATTGGGAACCTAAACTCTGCAAACTGAAACCTTTCTAACGTAAACCAAATCATTTCTCTTAATAGACTGCCATGTTGGATAACTACGTACTTTTAGCTTCATAAATCTGTACTGTTTGGACATCGCTCTGCTCTCTTTCTGTATCGCAATAGAATTAAAAAATGTAAATGCTCATGAATAGGCACGATTAGACTGCCAAATGAATTGTGGCCACAAATGTGAATTTAAATAAAAATGGAATTAAAACCAGCTTGACTGCCAAGTTTCTTAGTCATTACAAATTCTACGTTCTAAGTATCCAAGCTATCAGTATTTCTGCGCTTCTACATCTCAGTGTTCTCACTTCAGTACTTTTAAATTTTGCTTTCATTACAGACACACACACACACACATACTATGCATTTTCATTAATGGCTATACATGTAGCAATACTCACCTTCCTATATTTTCTCCAAATTTCACTGTGCCAAAAAGAAGGACACCAGTAAGTGCATAAAACAAAATTAACAGGAACATTCCCATAATGATAAAGAAGCTTTTATACACAGATACAACAACAGTCAGCATTAGCATCTTCAGAGTGGCCTAAAAAGGAAACAAAATTCAGTCTCAGCATGAATATACATATGTGTGGTTATGTATAAAATAACTGGATAAGAAATTATAAATGTATCAAAACTGACATAAATAAAAAAATTCAGGTACTTTCTTATTAACCACATGCTCATCAAAAACTCACAAAACAGTATATTCATGAGAGAAAGTAGAATGTCTCCAAAAGGTATTTATGAGGGAATCTTTGGTTTTTGCCAGTGCATGATACTGAGTTTGAGCATGTCTCTGATTTTTTTTTAATTGAAAAATTAATTACCGTACACATGGGCAGAAAAAGTTAAAAAAGGATTTCTCAAAAAAGGAAAATGTCTTATTACTGATGTTTCTTGCATTTTTATTTTTGTTGATTGGTTGCACTTATGGAGTCCTTAGTGTGCTGCTATTTTAAAAATCGTTCTTGCTTTTGGAGCAATAGCTTAGTGAGAATTTTTGAATCTCACCAAGGGGTACCCAGTCTTAGAAAGAATCTTGTTTTTCTGGAAAGTTGCCAATGTGCTCGCAACCTGTCAATGGAGCTGTAGATGATCAGAAAGTACCCATCATTTAGAAACAAGACTTTTCAAATACATTACATCTATTTGAAAAAATAACAATGTTTATAAATTTTTAAGTTGACTGAATTATTAACATGCATGGTAAAAATAGCAAATTTCTTAAGGTAGATTTTTGGAAAATGGCAAAATCTGCTTCTTGAAAAGTAATGTTCATTTTATCCCCCTCCTCAAAATGTAAATGATTTGAAAATAAATAACATTAAAAAATGTTTTTCTGAGCACGCATTATGTTTTGCAAAAGCAAACTCAGCCCATTATACATCTAAATATATTAAAATGCATAACTTTTAAATATATCCATTGCATTAAATTCTGTATTTTCCATTACATTGTAAATGTTTTAGATAAAAATATTGATATAACTAAATTAAGCCACAAGCCTATCACTGAGTGAATATTTTTTTTAAGGTAGACAGTTTCAATGATGATGCTAATGTGCTTGGCACTAAACTTTTGTTAATTTATGTTAATGAATAAGTTAATTAAAATATGTTACTTAAACTCTTATAATACTTATCTTGATATGCAAGTTCTGTTCCTATCCTGCTTTGCAAATATATGCTACGAGAAACTTGACTTGATTGAATAATGATTATATAACATTGTTCAACAATCACATGGAAAGAGCATTAAACTTTTCAATGATGACGTAAATGACCTGTCAATGTGAATACTATCATGCTGTTGTACTTTCGAGAATACAGTCAAGTTAAAAATTAGCTTAATATAATCAAACTAACATACTTAATGAATACATGCTAGATTAATTAAAGTCTAACACAACAGAATTTTTAATTCTCATCCAAATGAACTAACTTTACTAGAATAAAACATTTAGAAAGAAACAAATCAGAAATTTTTTTTTTAAAAAACTGTTATCTTTCAAGACAAACTGCTTGGATTAATTAATATTAAAACTAAAAGAAACAGAAAAGAAGGAGGAGGGACAAGAGAGAAACAAAAAGCCAATTAACGATCAAAATGTCAAGTAGCTATTATACTGCAATAGAACTTGATATCAAATATAAACTATTTTTTCACCACAGCAGCTAACTCCAATATAATTTCAATTTCATTTTTTCATATCGGACAAATACATTTTTAATTCATTATCCATCAGAATTAGACACAAGTCAAAAACATATAATTTAATCAAAACAGATAGTGATCTTAATCAGCTTCAAAATGTTTAAGCATTTACCCATCAATTAAAAGCTGTAACCATTTTATTAGGCCCATGTATACAAAAGATTTCTTTTTATTCCATAAAAACAATTTTACTCACAAGTTAAAAACTTTTAAATAATTTAACTAAAATTATACAAATTCATACAAATTCTATCATACACACTAATTAAAGGTATAATTCTGGGTTCTAGGAAAAAAACCAACAGGAAAAAAGCCCGCAGAAATATGCCCACAGAGAAAAAGGCACACATGGAAAAATGCTCATTTAGAAATAGGCTCACACAGAAAAAAAGCTCACATGGAAATAAGCCCACTGATAAATAAAATATGTAAAAATATCCTTATATTAATCAATCAATAAATTAATCGATTTGAACATCGTACACATACCTAATTTTTAAAAGAAAAATTATTTGATCATTTAAAAAAAATTATTGAACAAATGCTCACATAAACACTTTCAGGGGAGGTATATAAAAGATTGAAAACTATAGTAAAATTTTGCATGTACTTTAATATTTTATACCGCTGCTCCTGTACAACATTTTTATTCCTGTAACTGCAATAGTTATTTTTTGTTCATTTACTCTATTTTTGCATACTTTTGATGTGTATCTACAGAAATTGATGTTTGAATGTAGTTATTTAAGTTTGGAGGAAAAAAAAAAAAAAAATTCTAGAAGGCCACAATTTCTAATCGAAGTGTGGAATCATTATGAAGCAGCTTTCAAAAAATCTTCTAAATATACAAATTGTTATGAAAGCTTTCATAAGGTACTAAATTCATTATTTAATTGTAGCCATCCCAGTATGTGGTTTTTATTTGACGGACTGAAAAAAGATTTAGCCTGTCAATGTTTATTATTAGCTACTGTAAATACATGGCATACTGAAGGGGGGATATGAAAACTTACATTTGGTGATCGCAAATCATGTAAGAAACTATGATGAAATCGACGATAAAATTTGAGATTTATATATATAGTTAATCAGCAGTTTGATGTATTTATAACTTTTTATATATAATGATTAGATAAATATATTTTACGTAATTTAAAAAATAATTACTATGTTTGTTTATTCTTCTAAATGTTTTATTATAAAATGTGTAACTTAATATTACTATTATTTTATTTTTTTAACAATTAAAATTATAATAATTTCTCCACTGTATATTCCGTTTTACTTTTCTTTTCTTCTCTCCTTTTTCCAATTTAAACGGCCTATTTACTAATCTTATATAGCACTGAATCTACACATAAGTTATACAGTTAATATATATATAAATGTTGTAGATCTTAATCACTTAGTTCGAAACAAGCTATTCTAATACTTGCACATAGCCACAAGCAATAAAATAAATAATTTATTTCTAAAGAAATATGATATTACCTTCTAATATTAATTTAGTAGAAGTATCTAAAAAGAGTGAACCATAGGTAAGAAGTTTAATTTCAAAAATGTTTTAAAGTAACTTGAATGTAAATTTTTTAACTGTTTACGACTTGAAAGCAAATGAATAACAAAATTTCAAACTTTGAAAAAAGAAATTAAATTAAAGCAAGTAATTATTGTACTGATCAGAAATTAGTTGACTTTTTAAATTTGGTACTAGGTGCATCTAGATAGAGCCAGTGCACCTCGAAGCGATTTTTCAAAATTCGAATTTTTTAATTTTATGTTTTGTGAAGAATCGCGTCTTTTAGGACATAATGGGTATAGGAAAGCGAGATTACTCTACCACACTCCATTTCACATCGTCATGAAACGCAGGCACTTAGCTATTTTACAAACTAATAAATTTCGTGTTTCAATAAATTATTATTATTTCACAAATAAATTTCGTGTTTCAATAAATCGATTCAATATGAATTTATTTAACAAAGTGAACTTAACACCTTTTCAATGGGATTTTTTCTTAAAAAGTTTATTTTTAAAAATGTACAGTTTATTTTTCTTTGATTTTTGGACACGTTAAAGTTTCATCTTTGCGACTGCTTTTACAAAAAGAATTTTGGAAAAATGATAATATTTTGTATTATCATTTCTCACATCTTCCAATCTTCCATCTTATCATTTCTTCCAAGTACACTTCTCACATCTTTAAAAATGTGATTTTGGCAACAATTTTCCTATCTTATTGTTGTTGATAGATATTTGATGAAATTGCATCATTTTGAATAGTTTCATTCTTTCAGAAATATGGGTTTAGCAACAATTTTTCATCGTATTTCTTATGTCACTGTTTTTTTAAGAGATTGGCATATTTCATTGTCATTTAATATATATATATATATATAATACATTTTTATTGATATTTTTTTATAAAGTTGTTCTGTAGAGTAAAATTCTGCGTGGAATTTTATGTTTTGCGAGTTGCTTTCATGTTATTTTTTGCTTATTTCACTTTTTGTAAGATACTGAAAAGTTTTGCATGATTTTTTTTCCTCAACGGAAAGTGGTTAATTTTTTGTTAAGATAATTAATATTTGTATTAAGGGTATAGCTTATTTATTGTAATTTTTTCACTTGAAATAAAGATAAAAATCATTAATTATACTTTGCTTTTCAGAATTTTTTGTTTTTTGTATTCTTTTATGTTATTTATTGCTCATTTCACTGTTTTTAAGATCTTGAAAAGTTTTGAGTGATTTATTTTAGGAAACAAGTTTAACCTATTTATACCATTTGAGTTCTAAGATTTTGCAAGAGAAGTTGGTTAATTTATTTATTAGGATAATTAATATTTGTATTAAGGGATATTGCTTATTTCATTGTAGTTTTGCTATACGTAATAACTTTTAGTTATGAAGTTGTTCTGCAGAGTAAAATTCTACGCAGTTTTTAAATTTAATGTTTGGTGTTTCCTTCAGCCATTTTTCCGGTACATTTAAAAGCCAGACGAAAGCTTGCAGCGAAGCTGCTAGTAACTAATAAATACAAAGGTGTTTCGTCTTTTACTCAAGTAATAATGGTGATGCCAAAATGGCAAATCAAGTTAGGCCAAATGGCAAATTAAGTTGGATTTAAAGTGATATTTAGTTTTTTATGAAAAGTTTTAATTCTGTTTATTATAGATGTTTCTGTAAGGTTTGCTAATTGATAAGTAGTTGCGTTGAAAAAACCCTTTATGAATAATTGCTGCGTAGAATTGTTTTCATATCCAAGCTACAACAGATTTACTAACCTCTACGCACTTCCCAAATTCCATAAAACACCATTAAAATTCAGATTTATAGCAAATGG